TTGGGCTGGATGCATTGATCTCTAATTTTGAGTCAAGTTTACATGTGGGTCGGTCATCATCAACTTCACGCGGTAAGCCTATATGGTAAACAGAGCAATCCACAGAATAGATACAACTCGGCAGAAAATAGTAGCATTTGAAAGTATTCTCACACTGAAAATGAAAGCTTTGCATGAATAGTTTAAAAGATGTTGAAAATTTCTACCCAATATTGTTAATTGATTTTGAGTCGGATGTTCACATTCTATTATGATATTAGAGCAGACTTTCTACGTATTGAACCCAACGACAACACATGCTTCCACATTACTCAATATATTGTAATATGTATTGGCCACTTGTTTAGTTTGGGTGATGTCACACAGTAGGGGTGGGGGAGGTGGAAGGGAGGGGCATGTTAGAGTATTATCATTCGTCGAAAATAGAAGTCTCTACATTAATAGTTTAAAAGATGTTGAAACTACCTATTACCAATTAGTTTTGGGCTAAATACGACCCACATTCTACTACCTTTTATAAATAAAAAATGAGCTTCGGCAAATGTTATTTTGGTAGTTCTACGTAATAGGGGTTCTGTGATGTAATTTCCAAGTCAATTATAATATGAAAATGAGAACATACAAAGAAACAAGTCTGGATTTAAGCAGGAAGTTTCAGAAACATCAATTTTAATTAATTAGACAAAGATTGCAAAAACGTCACGGATTATGGGAGTTCATGGGAAGACTTGCCATCAACATCAAGCTACGAGACCCATGACGATTCACACACAGGAAGCCAAACATAAAATCTCATAGTGTCATACAAACTGATCATACCCAATTACCATAATCCAAATGTAAAATGGGGTCTTCTACTTGATTACGGCACAATAATTACTTAGGTTTAAAGAACTAATTAAGTAGCTATCACTACTTCAAAATTACCACTTATAAAATGGTGGAATGGATTTTCATTTGACTCGTTCAACTAGCGCTACTCATCATTTGTGCAGCACTAAGAGGTGATGGAGTATGCATGAATAAACATCACCGTGAATACTGATTAATTAGTTTAGCGACCAAAACACTTGATTAACATCCAATTATGTTGGGGACCTTGAGCTAAAGCCAAAGGCTATAAACTAACAGAGAAAAACGAACAACAAAAAGTTTACCACTTCATATGCTTCAATAATGATTTTTGTTAATTGCGTATGAAATCTCACAGGCGGCCTGATGATGAAACGTACTCTCGTTCGTTGTAATAAGCCTTGGAGGATCCATCTTATGTTGCATAATTGTCAACTTTTGTTTCTAAATCTTGTATATTAGACGCGTATTAATATTAGTCTTAATTTCAAGTACGTACTCCACCAAATTACTATAGTGTGTAAATGCTGTGGGACAGCAAAGAGAACGCGCATGGCCGCGAGGACAAAATTGACTTGTTTTGTTGCCACTGACAGAGGGAACTTACTTCATAGATTGTTACGTAAATGCATTCATAACTTCAAACAAATGTTTCTTCAAAAGTTTGTGACTTATGATAGAATCGAATGGGATTTTGTGAATGCAGTGTTGCTGAAAATGGGGTTTGATCAATCGTGGGTGCGTCTGGTGATGAAGTGTATCACCTCGCACTACAAAACAGAAGGCCTTTAGTGAGGGTATTTTGTGGTCGCAAAAAGCCTTTTGCCGTCGGAAATTCGCTTTTTCGACGGCAAAGGTTCGTCGGAAGTCGTCGCTAAAACGCCGGTTGGAAATACTTTTTTTCCGACCATTCCGTCGGAAATAATGTATTTTCGACACCCATATTTCGTCGATATTGCTATTTTTTTTTTATCAGAAATAGATTTTCAAAACGACCATACAAATTCATTTCCAACAATAAATGTGGTCGCAAATACTTGCGAACCTATCGGAAATAATTTTTTATCGAGATCTTTTGTTCTTGCCATACTATTTTTTCGACCAATGACTATTTGTCGAAAATAGTATTTCCGACCCTAGATTACTATTTGTGATAAATATAATTCGTTGGAATTGTGCTTTTCTGACATGGAAGCTTGTCGAAAAAAAGTTTTTCCGACTACATTTATAAGCATTAAACGTACAAATATTTTGTCAAAAAATATAAATAATATTTCAATTGAGAAATTGTTGTTCGAAGAATAGTATATATCATCATTAATAAAAGACAAATGTAATAAATTACAAATATTCATTACAATCCTAAGCTATGTCCTATATCACTAGTCCCAAAGTCTACTTCCAATCGAACATTAAAGAGTTCGAATGCATGCTTCATAGCTTCCTTTGAATCTTCACTAATGCTGGGCTGCTGCTACTTCCCATTAATAATAACATTGTTTGTTTATCCTGCCAAAACAAGAACAGAGCTAGTTCTGTTTCCAAAACAAAGTTTTAGTCAATGTGTTAAATCAAATATATCAAGAAGGCAATACATGACAGACAGTAATGAAATAAGAACAGAAAAATAGATACAAGCACGGTAGGTGCCAAGGCGAACCTCCTTTGCAAATACAAAATCCTGAAGAGACACCCTTCCAGATAGAATCCGCTTCCATTGACGCTGTAAGTATGCTCTAACCTGTGTAAAAAAAACAAAGGTCATCATCTAACCGTGGAAATCAAGTCAACCACCAGTAAAAGCTATTTTAAGGAAAAAAAACTCAGGGCAAATACAAGATATCTATGAAACTAAAGAGGTAACATGGGAACATGGATTGACTTACAACCAATGGACGTCCTATCTTTTGCTCTTCACCCTTGATTTTATCAAACCAGTTCAAGTACAATCAAAAGGAATAGCACATGCTTTTGTACCTCATACATATCCTGATGTTCAAAAAAAAGTCTCAAAGACTGCTCCATTGTCTTGGCAACAGCCCCACATGTATCCCTGCGAACTGTCATGGGCAATCTGTTCAGGGCTTTCATAACTGTAACCAACATAACGCTTCTTAATAAGGAGGAAGCACGGGCTATAAACTTTTTCCATCTTCCAAACAATTGGATTTGGTTTCATAGCAGTAATTTCAGATGCAATCTCATGTCCAATCTGAAAAGAATCTTCAATGCTGTGTAAACACAAAAGAAAGTTAATTTGCCCCATTTACATATGAGAGAAAGAGAGAAAAAAAGTGATGGAACAATCTCCATTGACCCACAGGCAATTGACATAAATAGACCACATACAACAGTCTAAACTCATGATATGTCATTATGCCTAATCAAACACACAGTAATGAAAAAGAACAAATCAGAAGAATTTACTGTATCCTATTATTACCTTATAGGATGACCATGTACAATTTGACTATTATTAACTTGTAGGATGACCATGTATGCTTCTATTCTATGTTTTGGTCTCTCTTTCTAATCTTATTATTTCTATAAAATCTTTTATGTTCTCTGTTTTTTATCTCTCTTTTTTTTTTATTGTCTATAACTCAAAATCAACCAATAGACCCAAATGAAAATGAAAAATCAAATATATAAAGACTATATAATGTTCTCTGCAAACACGGCTATAATGTTCTCTGCAAGCACTCCTCTCTAAATAGTTGATGAAGCATTCAGACCCAATTCCTCTTCTCAAATATAGACCAAAATTACAAGATACAGAGTGATGACAAATATACAGAAGGAACCAAAGATGAGGTCTGGTTCCCACCATGTATAATCTGAAATCATAAATTGCTATATAAAAAAATTAAAATAAAGAGCAAGGATAGGTTGAGATTATTACCTTGATTGGAAGAGCAAACAACCTTGTAAGATTGAAAGGCAGGGAGGAGCGAGAATCTGAAAACCAAAGATGAGGTCTGCTAAAATATGAAAACTATAAGAGAATATTTGTTTGTGGGAATTTTCTATGTATTCTTCTCCTTGTAGGAGGTCATATTTATAATACAACAAAACCTGAATGGGCAAGTAAATAATAAATTCCTAAATCTATTTACAGTAGGAAATCAGGAATTAAAGTAAATCAATTACAAATAAAATAGGAATCCTTGGTGTGTAAGGAAAGTAAGTCAATGTCCACAAGTCACGCCAACACGGTATATCTTATGCAAGTCTCTGTCGTCTTCCTGAGTTATGACTAGTTTTGTTTTGTTTTTTTTCATTTAGTTATGGACTTAGTTTATACCCTAACCAAAAGAATTTTTTTACAATTCGCAGGTGTCTGAACGATCGTCGTGTTCAATTAAACCAATCCTCCATTGTTTTCTTCCGATGGCACAAAGAAGACGTTGATCTTGATGAAGTTTGATTCATCCACCTCACAAACCCATGCAGCACAGCGTGCTTCCTTTCTGAACTTCAAAACAAGATGAAGATGCCAAGCCACGGGGATGGAGTTTCTAACTCGGGAGAACTGACTTATCCATCAATTAATCGAGGGCATGTTGTTGCTGATAATTTCAGATATTTATTAGTAACTAGAAATACTTTGATAGTCCTCCTTAATGAATTGATGATTGAATTTCAAGTCAGGTACTGTTTCTAATTTGATAGCGGGACCAATTTAAAACTATCATGCTTGTAATTTGATTAACTAGATACCAACAATTGAGCCAAACATCCAAAGATTCAATATGGTAATAATTTTTAATTTTTTTTATGGCAAAAGACTTCATTTAAAACGAATCAACATGACAAAGATATGCCGGCATGGGTAGAGTGGCCTCGTTAAAACCTCCCTAAAGAAAACCCGATGGGAAAAACTTCAGGAGAGGAAAAAGAGTGCCACACATGCCAGATTACACATGAAGAGATTAAATCAAACGACAGTAGGCAAATGCCAATCATCATAAACAGCATCCATAGGCCACAAAGGACCCACATCCAACCAGTACGACAAACTTTGATCACGCAGACTGAAGCGGGCAATGCGATGGGCAGCCTTGTTCGCTTGGCGAGGAATATGACGAACAACAGCAGACGCAGACCTGACCAGAAGGCGTCGCACTCCATCCACCAGACCTCCCTCAGCAGCAAGGCATTCCTCCTCACTGTTGACCATAGAAACTGCCTGCAAGGAATCAGACTCAATCTCCAGAGGCACTAGAGACGCATCCAACGCAAAAGAGAGTCCGACCTTAAGAGCATACAGCTCTGTTGCAAGTATAGAGATCCGACTTGGCGCCCGCATAGCTAGAGTCCCAACCAGATTTCATATGGTAATATTACATACGAAAAGGAAGGTCCAAATAAATCCAGTTTTATAATACAACTAAAGATAATAACTAAATTATCTTATCAAAGAGATGCAATGGCAGGATATGAGGAACATTAACATGTATAATCAGTGATGAAAGCGACTGGTATCTTGTAGATGTGCACCACAACATATCATGTAGTCTTGTCCCTAGCTTCTTGGCTTCTGATGATATTCTTCTCAAAGATTATGCAAAATAAAGAATAAAAAATTATTATCTATGATTAAAATAGAAAATGCAAGTGCTGTTGGAAAAATATTAATGGTTAAGTACTACTTCAAAAAATGATACCATCCTTAGAAGCATTTTAACGAGCCATATATAAATAAGCATTTTAACGAGCCATATATATAGCTTAAACACGTGGACATGGACTAATGACATGAGAAAGATAAGGCAAAGAAAAATAAAAAGCAACGCCAATTCATGAAAATATATTAAGCTATACATATATCTTCTATTGATTTTATAGTGACTGACCAGAGCACTTGGTGAATTGAAAACATACCTTCTTTTCTTTCCACGTGGACATTTCATAGCCACATGTTGTATAGATTTCCATATAGAGACTCAGGAGCAAACGCTTTTAATTTTGGACACTCATAAACTTGGACTTTCTCCAAGGCTGGCCACTTCAAAGTAAAAGCTTCAGAGCAGAAAGATTCAAGTTCGGGTAAATCCAAAAGTTCGATATAATTCAATTGAGGAAATGTCAATTCATCCTTAATACTTTCTCCTCCCCCTTCTGCCTCTCCAACAATTTTCTCCATCGCACTACAATGCATTACTTGTATTCTCTCCAGGCAGGTAAGAAGTTTGGCTATGTGCGGTGAAAACAAGTATCTCAATTTGTCACACCCCAATACTCGCAGTAATCTCAGGTTTCCAAAGCCTGAGCTAACTTGTAAACCCTTTTCCCATATGTGGCTCAGCATTGGTAAATACACCAACTGCAATTGCCTCAGCTTATCAAATGCTTGAGTAGAAGGGGTTTCCTGAACCAAAAATATCACTTCCAATAAATCGCACCGAAGTACTGAGAGATGTTCTAGATTGTCGCTAGCACTTGAAGTCTGAAGATTTGTCGGCGTAACCTGCCAAAAGGGTAGAAAAGTAATTGTATAATTTGTTAGTGTTTCAACCATATACATATGGGATGTTATCACATTCTAGAAATCAAGAACGTTGTTTAAAATGAAAAATGAAGTATTCATATAAAAAGAAGAAGATCATTTCACAAGTTACCAGTATTCATATAATGCCTTTGTTGTACTAGTGTAGTTGAGTTTCTGTCAAAAAGATGTCCTGAGACACTTTAAACAGAAACTTGTTCTATCCTTGGTTGTATTATATGCTACCTTATTTGTACGGCTTAGATTAAGCCACATAGTCATTCTCATATGTGTGGCTTACCCGATTCTTGGCTGAGTGATATAATTAGCCTTGACTTCTAATATTTATCATTCCAAGACAATATACAAAATGTGTGCTCAAGAAGCTAGAGAGAACAGGTTTTCTCCCATATCACATTTCTGGATTTTCTAACTTGAGACGTATTTTACAGAAATTCCTTCCTTGTTTATTTGCTCTTTTTTCTCTTGTGCGTGTGTGTGTGTTAGTTGAACCACAGCACCAAGATATCTCAAATTCCAACAAGGGCAATATAAAGTTTGGCTTTCCAAAAATTCACTTATTGTGAGGCTTCAAATTAATAAAACATAAATAAATATCTATTTCAGACTTTATCTTCAATGACATCTGTACCTAAGACCAATTTTTACAAAATAGAGGTATCCCTCTCCGTAAGTTATATATGTGTATACTAATATTGAGATGCGTAGTTTAGAATAATGGCGTACCTCTCTATTTACAACCTGAGGCAATATTTGAGTAAAGTTGCGAGTAGATGGACGACTTTGAAAGCATACTAGTGGCGAACATCCAGATCCAGTTGATGATGATGCACCACCTGACTCTTCTCTACCTCTTACATGATCATCACTCAAATTCTCTGCAATTGCAGGCCGCTTTTTGCTTAGTGGTGCAAAACCCAATGTCTTTAATTTGGGACAAAAGCTCACATACATATTTCTCACTGAGGAGGACCATGCAAAAGAATAGTCATCAGGGCAAAATCTCTCGAGGCTTGGCAAATTGCTAAGGTGGAAGCTATTGAGTAGTTTGGGAAACAAAGTCATCACGCCACTGCCACCT